ATCGAATTTGTTACGCCATGGATACAGATGCGAGCGAGAGAGGTTAACATACGAAACGAGAAAAAACTTTTAAGTGTGGTGAGTACAAATCTCTAATTTCCATTATTACATTTCTCGTAGAAGATAATGCAGCATCGTAACGTAAAAGTGTGATATTTACAATTTTATATATATCGTAAAAGGAAATACATTTGAAGGAGATGTATTATTCCACATTTATGTTAAAAATAATACAGCAAGTACAAGTCTTATTGCCATCATGTTCGAAATAATTCTTCTGCAAAGAAACATTTCAAACAAATTAAATTTATATTTTTAATTATATTGAAGATGATTTTAATTAAATAAAATTAACACAAAGCACGAATATATACATATGGTTGAGACGATGAATTTAAGGCGGAACCGTGGACCGAGCGATATGCGACAACGTATTTTGACAATCGCAAGCGTGAGGGGAGAATCGCTGACGTGGGATCGGCGTACGATCGTTTGCACGACGTAACTCCCTTCGATCCGAGTAAACCGCGATGCGATCGCACCAAGCCAAGTCTCATTTGGGCGGAGATACACGAGGAGAACAAACGTCACGCCGTGCCGATGACTGCTAATCACTGGTACAGTCGACCGAATAGAATCCAAATCGATTATCCGGACATGAGATTTGCTCGATCGAGCAAAACCAGAGACTTCTATAGCCGGAATACAATTCCCGATCTAACACCTGATAGAATGAAACGAAACGCGCCCTAGGTCTTTTATCATTACCTTATGAAGTCTTTCCGAAGCGAAATTTTCGTGTCCGAAATTTTCGTGTCCGACATTTTTGTTTCGATATAAAATACAGTTAAACAGAACGGGAAAAATCAATAATTAAAATTTGCACCTATACATTATAAAGAAGCTTTATAAATGTTTCATTTTATTTTTATTCAAATATTGTTATAAAATTGATAATATTGAATTAATTTCGTGCAAAATCTATACGGCTATTCTTTCTCGTTTTCATCGCTTTTGTAGGAATTTTTTAAACGCGATGCATGCTACCGTTAGCACTTTTACTGACGCTTTAAGCTAGAATTAGAACAAATATTTCGACACGGTAAATGAGCATTTGACGTATGGACAGGAAATGCCAGTGCAATTGCTAATTAATATTAATGTGTCATGTTGTGTTTTCAAACATTGGGTAAGCGTGTAACAATATTGACAATATATAGGATTTGTCCGGGAGCAGAAACGGATAAAGTATGATATGTCGTAAACCACGCTCCCCCAGATTTATAGTCTCGCATGGTGCTTTTGATTAATGAATTATTTTTGTCGCGGTACAAAATGTACACGCACTATTTTTCCATCTCAACAAGAAAAGAGATGTTGTGCATGTTTTACATTACATTATTCAATACGCCACATACAGATTTATTAATTTTACGAAATGTATATTTCATTTATTATTACATATTTTTACCATTATTATTATTTCATCTCCCATTTAATTGCCGCATAATTTTTTATCACTTATTTTATTTTTATATATTTTTATAACGATTTAATATTGCAATAAGATAAGATAACGTTATTACATCGTGTATCTCGTGCTTCGTATACGATAAAAATCAGATAAGAGAAATATTCTCCTCAGATAAGTGTCCCCTTATATCTCTACTCGAGTAAACTTTAAGGCTTATTTTGTCTAGCGACTAACTTATATGTGCCATCGAGACTTCAGAATTTTTTGATATTATATCATTTTACTCGCTCTCGTTGCTTCTCAATTTCCCAGCAAATTTAAAAGGAGAGTTCGATAATACTATAATTGAGATCCAGCGAGATTTTATATGCGACTCATCCTCTGATCTGTTGTAAATGACTTTTACTATATCGAGAGAGCTTCTTTTTAGAGCAAAATACTTTTAGCCTCCGCGATGCAATATTCCAGTCTCGAGCTTTCGCTTTCTCTACTATTACATTTGAGCGTATAGTTCGCTATCAGGATTTATATCTCGGATAGATCAATGAAAAGAACATCTTACATACATAAAGATGAAGTGTAGATACGTAGATAGTATCACATAAAGTTACTCTCAAGACTTATATATCGACCGACTAGTTTAAATTCGATATTCTTAGCATATAGCTACTATATTCACGAACAATCTCTTTTTATCATGGTACATTTTTAATAATTGTATACGCAAAGAAAATCTTCAAATTTACGAACATTTCGATTATTACAGATAATCTGAGAAATAACCGGGAACGTTTTTGATCAAATGCATAACATTTTCGCATCTTGAGTTACTTTTTATAGCATTGGCATTTTTTAATGCATTTTTCTCGTCTTCGATAAAAATTTCTGTTTCGTATTTTTCAAAGCGATTCGCGGACATCTCTCGCATCCCTAGATGTTTCTATTTTCTCTGCCGTCTTCTATGCCACTTCGCGGAAGCAAGGTTGATACCCAGGATTGCTTTACTTCCGAATACTCAAAAGGAAATGCCACGGAAAGAGAAAGAGAGGAAGGAAGGATGAGCATATGCACACAGACACGTATAAATTTCCGTCCTCAGCTTGCAACTCGGCATCGAGTTTCACGCGAGATCCTTGAAACTCAAGACTCGGAAAGTGCCGACTTTAGCTAGCGACGTTTGTGTCAGAGGGAATTTTTTTTCTCTTTTTACGACCGATATTTATATACACGTCTCGCGAGAATAACACCCGGGGATTTATGTCGCGCCCCATGATGTTACGAACAATCGTCTCCGTTCGACACTCAAACGCCAAAAGTATTATGTCCCCGAAGACGTAACCACTTAACATCGGGTGGTAGGTCAATCGTTCGAAATGGTTTTTGCATATTTTATAAAGCAGGCATTTCTCGAACGGAACGGAGCTACGTTGCTATAATAGAAGACGTGACGCGAAGGACGCGCAATCGAATAAATAATAGACGATTGTATCATTAGACCGATAGCGAAGGATGAGACTTTATCCAGACGGAGGAACTATAATCGGAAGCGACACGAGCTTTAAATTTATAATCGAATACGGAGAGCCGCATCGCGTCTCGCGATAGACTCTTTTTCCACGAAAGCCGTGCATATTGTTACAATGCATTCGGAGAATAATCACAATTTCAGTTGTTCGAAAAAGAACTTATGTACGTTGCATTTAGTATTAAAGTCGCGGAGTGACACGTCACGGTTCTCCGCGAATTATTAATCGTTACTGAGGACTTTGCGCAAATTTATATGCATTTAATAGGCGGTCGACATGACTCTCTTCCGCTGTCGGTAGTTAAATCATTAGAGATACGAGAAACGCGACATCTGTTCGCAAATCGTTGTTTATTTCCGACTCGTTAATTAAAAGTCTAATTAGTACCGCGTCAATTAATGAGAATTCCACGTTTGCCGGGCTCTACGTGGCCGCTCCTCGTTCGCGTGGAAAAAGAAAAAGATCAACGACGTTCTCGTTGGTTCTGGCACTGCGTGATGACTAGCAATTACGAACTCCTCGCAATTTTTCTTTTTGCTACTTATTATTTATTTATTCTATTATTTATTTATACTTATTTATGCACACACATTTTCTCGTTGTTAGAAGAAATTTTCTTTAATTTTTTTTAGCAAGGTTTAACAAGACGATGATCTTTAAATTCTTTTCAACACATACTCGTAACAATTTTTAATCCCCGCTGGAAAAATCTAATTAATATTTACTAATTAAATATATGTCTAAAAACTATTAAATATTAGGCTGGTTTTTTTGGCCTTTATCGAGAAAAATGCTTCAACTTTATAGTAGATGAGTATTGTGGCAAAAACCTTATTAGGTAATTTTAAATTGATTACTCCGTCGTATACAGTGATATTAGCGAGCTCGTCTCCGTTCCCGGTTTCGGGACACAGTTAATCGAATTACCTTTGGTACCGTAAAGTAACGTAGCCGAAAGGGCTATATAGAGTGTGACCCCATTAATAGTTGCTCCCGAGAAGTTAGATGCGTTTGCGCAGTGAAGGCGAATAAATTTTGGCGGTTACAAGGGGATCGCGAAGTTTCTCTCGAATTGTTTTATAGCACCCGACGGACTTTAACGGCTTCTCTGCTTGGGATTATGCTTATTATTATATCATTTCGTTCGCGTCTCTCGACGCAATCACGCAAGTGGTATCTGTCGCGATCGCGACATAAAAACGAATGTAAACGTGCAATTTTATCAAGTGATTCTACTTTACTAGTTACGTAACATACTCTAGTATAAGCATAACTAACGTCATCGATCTAGTTGGCGCGTTATTGATGTTAATTAGTGGTCAAGCAGGTTTCACGCGGGTTTCACGCGGGTTAATTATTAACGATATACGTTCCGAATCCAAAGTTCCATTTTCCGATGCTTCATCCAACTACGACTATAATTTAGCGCTCGTTACTCGATGCGAGCTCGATCGACGATCGGTGTCTATCCCGATGATTTTAGATTCGCTTTCTATTTCCGTCAAATTCGCAAACCGATAATTGCCGCAACAACAGTTCACCTCGCGCCAACGCGAGATATATACTCAAAGATAAATACTGCAAGCCGCAAGTATTCCAGCTTCATCCCGCAACATTTTTCTCGAGCCGACCGCACGGTGCAGTAAATTTCCGGTTCGCAGACACGATATCGCGATACATGACTCTTTCTTTTTTCCCTTTCTTTCTCTGTCATGGTTCTTTTTGCTCTCAGAAAACGGAGTATATATCATGAAATTCGTTTCCTCGTCACATTGCTAAAGTATATCAGATAGATTTACGATGCGCGTCATAAATTATATCAATTCGCTTCGAGATATTTAAAGCTTGCATCTCTTTGCTGAGTCATCTATTTGCAATCTGTGATCATTTATCATATTAAAGATAATAAAAGTTAAATATTTACGCGAATGAAAATCGCGCCAAGCTTGTGTGAAACAATCGTATCTTCTGTTGCGAGCGCGCGGTATCTATAAATTCAGCGCGAACGTCGTCGTCGCGATCTAATGTAGCGCGACATGGCTACGATAAATGTCGACAAGACGTGCTCCGCGTTGCCGATTTCGCTGCAGGATCATCGGGAAACGTCCCTCCTGACTGATCGTGACGTTAACAAAATATTAGAGCGTAAACTCGGCAGTAACTTCCGACTCGTTAGCTGGAGATTGGAACTCGGCGACTCGAAAGGCTTCCTCGGCCAATATTATCGTTTGCATATTACGGCAAAATGCGACACGGACGGAGACGGGACGCAGAGTTTGCGGTTCTTCGCCAAAACACCACCGCCGCCCAATAATCCGCAGTTCGAGTTCCTGAAACGTTACGATATATTCAACAAAGAGATCGCCGTTTATACGGATCTAATACGGCGTATGGGTGTGGACGAACCTCCGAAATGGACAGTGGAGTGCTATTTCTCCAAACAGAATGTTATCATCGTCTTGGAAGACGCGTCGTTAGACGGCTACGTCACGCCGAATAAGTACGTACCGTTGGACGAGGATCACTGCGTTTGGTTACTGAGAACTCTTTCAAAGTTCCACTCGAGGTCCCTGATATTGGACGAGAAACTTCGCCTTGAAGGGAACAACCGGACCATCCTCGATCTTTACGGACACTTGCTGAACGAGGTTCTCTTCGCTGATGGAGACGAAATATCGAAGAGGATCCTCTTCTCCAGTACCTTGGGCTTTTACACGATGGTCGATTGCATCGAGAATTTCGACAATGATACTAAAAATGACATTAAATACCGCTTCACCATGTGGTCGCAAAACATTTCGCGATTATTGGCGCCGTCCGACAGACATAGAAACGTCATTTGTCACCGCGACATTTGGACGAATAATATGATGTTCCGTCATGATCCGGACGGGAACACGAACGGCTGTTATATTATAGACTGGCAATTTCTCTGCTATTGTCCACCAGCGATCGATTTTGCGTGCTGTATATATCTCACCACCAATCGAACCACCAGAGATCATTATTTCGATACTTTTGCCAAACTGTATCACGATTCGCTCGCACAAAATCTGGCGCAAGAAGGCCTCGACATTGACAAACACCTACCGTGGACGGCGTTTTGCGAAAGTTTCGCGGAGGCGCGAAACATAGCGCTTGTTTACGCAGCGCTCAATCTGCAGGTAATGCTGATGTCTGACTCGATAACCATGCAATATTTTGACGAAGTCGACAAACTCGAGCAGGCCTTCTACAGTAACAAGCGAGGGGAAATCGTGCGACATCAATGCGAAGCAGTACCCGCGTATAAGTCGCGTATTCTGGAGATTGTACTCGAAGTTAAAGATCATCTGCTCGAACGTCTACCGAATCCTTAATTTTGCGGTGAAAAAACGGCGTATTCGCGTGTCGTTGCTTTACCTACTTTAGCATCTGAGAGAAAAACTGGAATCGCGTCAGGGTAATCTCGTCGTCGGAATCTTATTTACGATTTTCAATTACTCATAAGTTTCGAAAACTGTGTGTCATTCGGAAAGAATTTTGTTTGCGTTGCTAGTTCGAACAGAGAATAATAATGCGCGCAATAAAAAAACATTACGCAATAGCAAACGTAGACATATGCGAATATCCGCATGTCTACGTTTACTATTGCGTAATGTTTCTATTGAGATTCGATAAATGAATTATTTATAAAATAATTGCTAATTTTTTTTCTCACAACTTTTTCTAGAACATTTACATTACTTTGTATGTAATAATTATGTAAACTTCTTATGTAACAAATATCTCCGGATAGTAAATAATAATTTACGTCAAGAACGGAAAAGAGATTTCAAATCTCAAGATAGTTTGGCATTAAGATGTGTATTGGATGAGTAAAGAAATATTGGAATTTCTGCTCTTTAGTTATAATTGATGATGGAGAAACGCTTCTGATGCAAATAGATATATAAGAGCATTTCCATAGGAATATCATTTCGCTCATTTTTCAAATGTCATCATTACATCTCGTTTCTTCTTCGTGAAAATTTTTCCTTCACCGTGCATATTCATTAGGACGCTAACAAAATGAGCAAAGTACTACTGTCATGTTTTTGTTCAAATGTATTTTTACCATTTTTATTTCTACAATTAATAATACGATTTATATTCACTGTCAAGGAAAATAATTGTTTTATCTTCATCCCAGTCATTCGGTCGTCGTCTCAATCTTTGTTAAATGCGCGGTCGTCAGAAAAGCTAATTCTACGATTAAAACCATTGTGTGGCGTAGCGCTTTGCAAACTTAAACGAGACCATCATTCCGCGTTACGTCAGACGAACTTTGTCATGAAAAGAAAAAGGAATTACGCTGCGTAATAAACTTTAGAACAGTCAGCCGGGGGAGAAAGCGCGAAGAGAAGAAAGTCTCTGGCTCTTGAAATAAGTCATGTCACATTCGTGAATAGTACATTTTTTTATTTGCATGCAATAGAAAGTATTTCATTTTTTAATTTCCAATTTAATCATATTAATCCAATTTATACATATTGTATACAAAAAATATATATATATATATATATATATATATATATATAATTATATTTTAAAAAATCATTACACATCTTATTCCTGCAAATACTTTACCTTTCTATATATTTTCTATATATTTTATAAAAATAAAAATATGTATTTGAAAGTAAAATATGTATTTCATATTTTAAATAATTTATATTATTTAAAATAAAATTTGAAACGCAAAATTATATTTATAATTTTACTTATAATTTCAATATTCATATTTTAATATTTATATTTATATTTTATATTTATATTTATATTTTTGTGCCGTGTTTTATGCAAATAACATGAGAAATTAAAATACACATATATGAAATATATGTCAGAATAACCAATTCGTAAAAATGGAAATAAATTTTTATTTTGAACTTCTATCGCAAATTATAGATCATGTAAAAAATAAATTGTATTCAATAAACATTTATAGAAGATCGTGCAAAATATATATTTTTTACAGTATGTGGCAGTGAATCGAACGAATTCAATTATTGTGTTCACGTAGCGACATTATTTAGTGGTATTCGAAGCCGCTCGCCGGCGCGACCAATGTACCCACGAGGTTTCTTGGCGATAAAATGATGAAGAACGGCCAAGTTTAATGGGTTGCGACGTTATATCGAATTAAAGCGGAAGTTCTTTTTATTGGCTATGCGAAACGTTCGTATAATCATTCCGCGATATGTACTCGCCGACGTAAACTTTCGATTCGCCAGATATGATATTTATAGATATTTACAGAAATAATGATTATATTTATTATAATTTGATAGTGATTATAATCCTGATAACGATTGGTGAATTCGTGGATCAGACCTGATCTATCTCACTTGATTTTCGCTCGACAGCGCGAAGCTGCTTCATCTAGAATAATGTTATGATTCCATTATACGTGGCAAGGCGCATCTACCTTTATTGTCGTGGTAAAGAACTCGATAATCTTTCGTAATAGAAATCGCGGGAGTGCATTAACTTCATATACATATGAATATCATCATCGATCCACTGTTCTACGCTGCTGCGAGCTATCGATCCAAGTACAAATAAATTTCCAGTTACGTAACAAGTAATGTAAGTGTATGTAAGAATATTTTTGTCCGGCGACTGCATGTGCTCCGAAAATGTTTGTTCCGAAGCGAGTAAACACTTTCGATCAGCGATGGGAATAATTCGTTGCCTCGTCTCCTCGAATGAAGGGATGAAGCGTGTGAGAAACTTTCGACGGTGCATTCGTCTTTCGGAAATACCAGCGTGTGTCGCGGACACACGCTGTTTATGGGAAATCCTGTGGCTCGTGGCGGCGAGAACCGAGAGCGCAGGCGTCCGGAGTCCTGTGGCGGCAAGCGCGGACTCGGATTTTCTCTAGTGTCGCGTCAACTGCCGCTGGAGAGTCGTGCGCATCGCACCCTCGGCCTTGGCTGTGCCAAGCTTGCAGCCCCCTTTCTTGCTTTCGTGGCTTCGTCACGTTTCGTCGTCGTCCGACATTAAGTCCGGAATTAAAAAAGTACTTCCGGTCAATCGCGCGAGACTTAAATGCTCCTCCCGTTGACGTCGTTTGTAATTCACAAGTGCAACGGGGTTCTTTTCTCGAAAGAAAAAAAAGAAATCTTTTCGCACCGATATGAGATACACGTACGCGTCGCGATATTCGTAATCAACTCGGCATCGTAAACGATTAACGATGGTGAAGGCTTCTTGATCGGAATTCCCCCGATCGAAACCTGGGATAATCGATTTCCGGGAAAGAGTGCACAAACGTAACGCGCGCGTTTCGTAGGAGCGTAATCGTTCAATGTGACTGGCGGGCGAATTCGATCGAAATAGCGTTCATCCCGAGTTCCATTTCCGGTCGTCCGCACGGAAGCGTGACGTATTCGCAAAGAGGAACAGTGCATCCATCGATCATGAATCGGCGCGACGTGCGAGCGCACGCTGATTCGGCCGACAACAAGTCGTCCGCACGTCAAGGAATGTTTGCGTCGGACGCCAAAGCATGAGGGACGCCAAAGCATTGACGTAATGGTGAGCTCGAGGCTATTATTTCCTGTATCCGAGTTAGCATGTTATGCATACAATTCGTGAAAACAAAGGGGCGACCGCAAAGATAAGCGTAATCGGAACGCGCTCGCAACAGAGATGTATCCTGTGCTTTGATGCATTCGGTTCAAGATAAGTTGAATGCTTTGCGAATATTTGCCGTTGCGAAATAACGTTTTCGAGCGGAAGAACACCGGCTGATGTACATGACGAATTGATCACGCGGGAATGAAAAATCATAAGCCGTCATTTGCCGCGCAAAGTGCCAACTCGCGTGATGAAACCGAGGGTAGGTCGAGAGGAAAACGCTATACGCGCGATTTACGTAATATACAAATTGTTATCGCGACAAGGTTCGCGATGTCAGGTCGTTGGAGGAGTTGACCTTTCATTGCAGAGTGGAAGGATGGAAAATGGCGTGAGAGAGAGTTTCGGAGCCATCAGCCATTAATGGCACGTGTCGAGGTGCGCAATCTACATACCTAAGTATGTACATAAGCGACACAATAGTGTGTTCTCGCGATTTCAGATTCTACGTTATTCTGTTTCAACTTCACATGCATTGTTACATAGTAATCGGCGATCGGCGACCGATCGAACTAATTATCCGATCGATTGTTTGTACGTGACGCGTACACGGAATAATGCAATTATGCTTATGTTCTTCGATATAAACTATTTTGTCGCGTTCATATGTATTAATATTATTAAATGTACATAGCAGTATTTAATTATAAAAGTAGAATTAGCGTTTACGATTGGATATGTAAACCATACAAGATGCATTAGAAAAATGACCTTTAATTTATGAGTTTACGTGTTTATATTTTTTGAGCAAACAGTTGTATAGTTGGTTACTTCAATATTTCTTCAATCTATTTGCAAAAGTTTTCGAATCATTTTTGAAAATTTAATTTAGCCTTGTAAGAAAATTTATAATTGATGATGTCTTAGAGAGTAAAACTTTGATATTTCTATTTTTGACGTTATTTTCTTCGAGTTACTTTAGTTTCTGTTATTTCTGGATGGTTTAATAAAATGTCACTCTCTATAGTTTATTGCAATGTGTGTGTATATACGCGGCATTGAATCGGCAAGTTTTAAGCTTTCAAAGCAAGAGATTCGGCCGTCGACCAAACAGAGGATATCTCTCGTCAGCAATGATTTATTCGACGTTCACAGAATGACAGCAGATGACATTCGTGCAGCATCCGACATGCGTACGACGTATGCGTGTTCAAGCACGTGACAGGGATCATCATAAGCCATGATACCCGTTGTACAACTGCCTTTTCAAATATGATGCACATATGAAGTATGATGTGTGTATGAAGTTTAACAATTTAATGCACTATATATCTTTTTTTTATATACTCCCGCTTTTATTTTTTGTATCAAATAATTTGTTTCTCTTCGAAAATTTTATACATACAAATTATTTATTTCAATTAATTTCATAATCCGCTTAATCCCGTGATTTATAAAAATAAAATTTAAAATATTTTATTATCGCATACACATGTGATAACGTTTAGAGAGACTAGTTTTAGAAGAATATCTGGATATAGACAAGATTTTTAATACGAAAGAGAGAGAAAAATTGATATGACAGATGCGTTTCGACCGAGCAAAATATTAAACGTGCAGAAATTGCATAATAATCTTAACGGCTTGTCAGGCAAAGCTGTGTCAATTTACCTCAATGTCTGGTATCCACGAGGAGGTTACGTGACATATTAGACTTTATACACGTATAGGTGCTGCATATGCATGCAGCGGTTCGAGATAAAGCGCTACGAGCTAATGGCATTAAAATGTCTCACGTCTAATCTCATTTAGATATGTATGAGTATGCATGTGTGCAGGGTAACCGCATTTCAATCCGAATATATACGAACATACATATATACGAAACTTCGACCTTGTAAAATGGAAAAGCATGACAGGCATGAGTGAGACACATTCGCAACGTCACTTTTACAAACCGCGAGATTTTATTTACACTTTCGTGAGCGCGCGGTTCCGTAGTCTCGTACGGAGATTGCATTATCAGTCACGCTGACGCATGTAAACCGATTTCGTTGGCGTTCATGTACCGAACGTTGCACGTGCATTTACGACCGTCGCAGACGCTGCAGGCGTCGGAGCTCGTGGATATACTGTTTCCCGAAGATATGAGCTTGATTCGTATGAGGCGAAACGAAGTCGTAAACCTTCTCCGACTTGCCAATTCGAACTTCGAGTGATCGATAAATAAGCAAGCGTAATACAGAGAGCAACTAGAAAGTGTCACGGCTAGAGATCAAGAATAAATTATAGCCGAGAGTTGTAGGTATCTCTGTAGAAATCTATTGTCGCATTTGTCGAAATGTCTCGTCAAATTACACAGTTTGCAACGAAAAATAATTTATTTTTAAACTCATGAAAAAAGGAGAAGAATTTAAAAAAAAATCCTTATAATAGTTTTGATACTAAATACAATTCTGGATTTTCTATCGTATTACGGTATTAATAAATTTAATTTAAAGTTGTAGAAGACTATTTTAATCATCTCGCAACTACTGCAGATATTATAGGAAGGAATTTGTTGTAAAGATTAAAATCAATCAAACTTTTGTAATAAAATATTAAATTTATTGCGGAGAAGTTGTAAATTAAATAATTAAATATTAAACATTAAATATATTAAATATTAAATATACAGATTATCTACTGAATAATTTTCATTTTTTGCTTAAGCTCTCTCTACAAGTTGTTCAAAAAAGATTGACTACAATTTTTACGTCAAAATCACTTTAAAATATTAAAATTGATATTCAATTAAAGATATTCAATTAAAATATTTTTGAATATTTGCAAAATTTTGCATGTATTGGTTTTCCAAATTGTAAATATATAAATCCGATGTTAAAATTAACGAATACAATATACGGCGTTCATACAATAATTAATTGTAACGTATTTATAATAATATTTAATTATAATAAATCATAATCCTATTGACTTTAATTTTTTTTAAATCAAAATGTTTAATTTTGAACGAAACAATTTTTTAGCATGTTACCGCAGTTGTTACCGTAGATGTTAACTGATGTTGTGAATAATGTTAAAATAATTTTAGCCTTAATTTTTTTAAAAATTATGATGCATCACTTGAGGCCAAAATTATATATTGCATCAAAAATTGCAAAAAATAAATTATATTTCTTTTTGAATTTTTTTCGTTAAACTGTGTTATAAAAGTTAAGTTTCGTTGACGTGGTGTGAAACAATATCTTGAAAGCTGGATCTATATGTAAGATGGATCGCTTTGCTAACGAGCTGCTTCGGGATCACTATCTAGACGATTGATCCCTTGGGAGAGGTACCGAGAGGTGACACGTATATCTCGTGCGATGCGACGTTATGCAATTAGACATACACAGTTGTACATATCGCGGCCATATCGGTAAACTCTCGAAATCCAGCATCCAGCGGCTGGTTCATATGTTAGCGGGATTCAGTTTGAAGCCGTAAATTAACCGTAGCTAGCAATCCGCTACGACAAAATCTCGATGAAATATCCGCCAGAGTACCAATCGGCAATTTGAATGGATTTTTTTTTGCTCACGCCAAGAGACATTTTATGACTCATATATTTTAAATTTGTTTTCGCACGCGGACCCGGTAAAACTATCGCGTAACGACGTATCGTTCCCAAGTCGTGTATAACGCGAAGAGATTATCAAATTTCCCGATATCGATTTAACGAAAGCCATCAGCAGCGACGATGTTACGTAGAGTGTAAATTATTTTCCTTGACGAGTATGATCCAAATAAAATTATGCGATTTTTCGCCTATAGAATGATAAGGTTCGCTCCCTCGATATTTTTCACTTCCGAGCGACCGAGAATAGCTTCTGCATATTTTGCTAGTACGACTCCTCCTCCTCGGCAAAACAGCGACATTCGAATCACGAGCACCTAACGCAAAATTGTATCCGGTAGAATAAAGCGTTTCGATTCAATGAACAAAGGGAAATTAAAATCCGCTTCTTTGACCTATTCTAATCTCTCGAACGTAACTGGATGAGATCAATAAAGATTCCGTGATTTCTGTCAGTAACTCAAACTCAGTTTTCATGCCAGGTAACGGCCGCGTTCGATAGTGCAGTATGAAAGATGTGAGAGGGTCCATTTGCGCGAACTATATGAAAATGAATAGCTCGCGAAAGTAATCGCCATTTATATCGACGCGAAAGGTACATATACCGAAATACGAAACGCTACAACGGCAGACGCGTCTACCATTCCCAGTGCATGTAATATTTACCGCGATGCGACAGGCTAGAATACAACGCGACAGCCAAAGGATCGATATCTAACAGCCTTTCTCTCTCCCTACGGCTTAGATTTTATATTCTAAATGCGAGACGCGCGAACGAACGAAACTCGCGCTGCCCGGGGCAAAGCCGGAATAAAGTCTGAAAGAAAAATAACCGACGGAATAACGAAATCGCCATCGCGTAGGGTCGCACGAAACTTCTTACACGACGTGAAAACATTTTTGAGGCTCTACACGCGATAAATTAAAAACTGTACGAGAGTTTTGACGGAACGACTAGCGGACACGCATGTAAGTATAAGCCGCTCGCGGCTTTGTCGTATCTGCGAATTATCGTGCAAGAAAGAAGCAAGATAAAGATGCGTGTTGCTTCGAATTGTGCGTTATGGGCCGCGATAAGCTTAACAAATGGTGCACGAGCGCGAGCGCGCTGTTAACTCCACTTATCACGTCGTTCCGGCTTAATCGGCGAGCTCGTTCATCATTGCGGCTACTTGCGATTTTTAATTCGATAGCGATTAGGGGTCGACGTTGTGTGCAACGCTTGCGTATGTTGGAAATTCGCACAAAATTGAGAGCCGCGAGCAAAATTCGCGAGAGGCGAATTCGTGTTCGCTTAATGGCGGTCCGTGATATTACAGCCAAGTCCATTGATACTGGA